CCCAGAGTACATGACTTGCCTTGTCAAATCCTACGACCTCCGGAAGAAACTAAAGGAGGAGCTCGTAGAGCACACCGCCCAAGATCCGAAGCTTAGCCCCATCCTTAAGCGGCTACGGGCTGACCCTAGCAGTCAGTCGGATTTTCACGAATATGGAGGACTGATTTTTCGTCGTTATGGGAACCACGACCGTTTGTGTGTGCCCAACCATGAGCCTCTCCGCACGCACTTTCTGGATTCGGCTCATGGCCGGAGCGGACACTTCGGCATGGCAAAGATGTAAGCAAATTTGTTGAGACAGTTTGATTGGCCTGGCATGAAAGCAACTGCTGAAACGTTTGTGGTTGAATGTCAAGTCCGTCAACGAATCAAACCATGCTGACAAAAGCCCATGGGGCTACTCACACCCCTACCCATTCCCGAAGGTCCCGGGGAGTCTGTCTCCATCGACTTCACCGACATGGGAACGGCTACTCAAAAGTCATGGTGATTGTTGACCGATTCTCTAAGTTCCTTAATCTGATCCCTTTGCCGCCTCATGCCCCAACAAAATTAGTGATTCGTGAGTTCCAACAGAAGTACATTCTGCAGTTCGAAACCCCGAAGACTCTTGTGAGCGATCGGGATCCGCGCTTCGTTAGTACCGAATGGAAAGACTTCCCGTCTCAACCGGGGATCAAGTTGTGTATGACATTTGGCCGACACCCCGAAGCCAATGGTTTGGCTGAGGAAATCAACCAGACTGTGTTTCAACTTCTTCGCGCTTTGATTATTCCGGATCAGGAAACATGGGATGAAGAAATGTATTTTGTTAAGGGGTTGTACAACAACTCCGTCCATTCTGCCACCGCCATAACACCCAACAGGTTGCATTACGGTTGGCAGATCTGTAATCCGCTGTCCTGCCTATTCCCTGAGCAGCCAGCTGGCTTAACACCCGGCAGGCCTCGCTTCAGGGCCAAGTATGATCGCTTGCTCAAGGTGGCCATTGCAGCAATGACCAAGCGACAGCACGCCATGATCCACCATGCAAACAAGAAGCACCGACCGTTGAAGATTCAGGTAGGAAGCTATATCTGGGTCAAGATGTCTGAATTCTCAGAAGAAGAGGGAGTCTCACGCAAACTTCTCCCACTCTATTATGGCCCATGGGAAGTTCTGGATGTGATTGGCGAAGATCACTTTGGCCCTTCGTACGTCGTCGATGTGCCAGCCCATCTGCACACTAATCCCGTGTTCCATGCATCTAAACTGTACCTCCACTGTGACGTTAAGACATTTGACTATCGCGAAGATATGATCCCTCCCGTGATCAAAGGCACGCATGAGATAGACAGAATTAAACAGCACGTGGGAAAGGGACGCAACAGACAGTACCAGGTTCACTTTATGTATCACCCGTCGAACGATCTGTACTGGATTTCAAAGCAGGAACTGTTACGCAGCGCACCGCGCGTCGTTAAAGCCTATGAGCGACAAATCGCCACTAACGCGCCCAGTGAGTGAAATAAGAAAGAGGAAGAACCCATTCCCCCCAATGTACAAAAATTACTTGTTGAGCTCGCAGATGTGGCAGAGGCTCCAAGTGGAGTGGTGGAGAGAGAAACCAAGCACCGGATAGAAATAGAACCCGGTAGCCAGATTCCCAAGGGCCCTATCTATAGGTGAAAGCAATTGGATGAGTTGCTTGAGAAGGGGTGGATTAGACCAAGTTCCTCACCATTCGGCACACCAGTTTTGTTTGTGCCAAAGAAGGGCGGCGAACTGCGTATGTGCATAGATTACAGGGGACTCAACGCAATAACTGTCAAAAATGTTGAGCCATTACTGAGGATAGATGATCTCTTAGATCGAGTTCAAGGTTGCAGATGTTTTTCAAGGATAGGTTTGACAGGTCGTTTTTGACCACATGTTGGTCGAACACGGGGACACTCGTGCAACAAAGGGATAGGCTATTCTCTACGCCGGATGCATGGTAAAGTCGGATTTTTTTTTTCCACGTGCAGGGCTAGGCAAACAACACGCATGCTCATCCAGTTTGACATCTGCATCGACGACCTCACCTAGTCAGTTCCTAGTATCATGTCAAAAGGGAGGCTATCCTCCACTAAGTGTCAAGGAGTGCAGAACACGTTCTACCTTACCCCCTGCCTCCAACCGGAAGTATGCCCTAAACCCTTCAACATAACTATCTACTATCATTTCCCCGTTATCTGCTAACTTACTCACTACGGGCTGCTCTAACTTTTGGACTTTCTACCCCAGGCGCATTTTCTGCAGCCCTTTCTTGCTAATGTAACTGCGCGTTGGCCCGCTATCTATTAACGCGCCCACTCTTACTTACTGACCTCTACATCTGCAATTAGTCACTGCCCTTTCTTTTTCTTCATTTCGGCCCAAGCGCGGCGACGAGTGATCAGTTCATCACCTATGCTTGCGAGGGAACCACCTAGAGAGGTTCTAGCACAAGCAACCTCCAGGCAACTAACTAGGTGGGGGCCAACTACCATCTCGGTCTCTGCAATTGGGACCTCTAGATGGGAGGATGACAGTCTGCTTGCATCCAACGTCCCTGTAGAGGCAACTGTTACATCTACTGGTTGTTCCCTTTTGGGTACCAATATTCTGGATAGAAGGGAACAATGTGGTCGGGGTCACCGCATTTAAAACATTGGCCGGCTGCCTTACACTCATCCGAAGTCTTCAATCCCCATCTATTCCCAAGGTTTGCGTACAGCGATCCCGGGATGGGGTGGATATGGTCGTCAGTTGTTGTATCTTCTTCCTCTACCCCTAGTGGAGTTGGAACCTCTACCACCTTGCGAGGGACCATTGCCCCTGCCTCCCACACAGTAGCTACCTTCGCCACTACCCCTCTGGGCGGTGGGTCCTCTTCCTCCACCATGGTCGCGGCCTCCTCTTCCTCCTTGTCTCCCTCCCCCGCAGGCTGCAATGGCCACATAGTCCCCTCCCTAGCTAAGTGACTATTGTTGTCTCCTTCTAAACCATAGTCTAGCTGGTCGTAGGTGAGTGATTCTACCATTTCTTCTAAGGTGACCAGAAGATTGTCTTCCCCTACTATATTTCCTGAGATCGTGTGATCTCTCCATTTTTTTCCTGTCCGGAGATCCTTCCAATAATGGCAGTACCGAGCCTCTTGCAGAAAGCCAGCATGATCAATTGCGATTTTGCTGAACTTTTAGTATGTCATTCCTTCTTCTTTAGTACGGGGACAAAGTTGGGTTCTCAATGGATCTAGGAGTGCTCTGACAAAATTGTTCAGAATCTGTGTGGGTGTCAGTCCATGGTCCAGACACTACAAGAGTTCATCCATAGTGGCTTTGAGCGTTGACGCACTCTTCCACTTACGATCACCAATGTTCAAGATCAAGGACTCAATCCTGTGGGCCAGATTCTTATCTTTGAACCTTTCTCTAAGGGCTCTAAAGAAGTCCTCGATCCGTGTCCGTTGTGAGTATTGGACCATGGTCGTGCAACCACTCTCCTTCATCAGGGAGATGGCGAAACTCATCGCATCACTCGCTAAACACAAACTAGCTATTAGCACGTGGTCCCAATACGGGATCTTCTGCGTGTACAAAAAGGTATCCATTGCAGCTTCCCAGTGGAATATACTCTCTTCCTTCTTCCCCGTATAAGTCCAACGTAACTTCACCTGCATCTTTCGCTTGGAATCCACTTCACTGTCCTTCTCCTTCTTGGGACCCTTTCCTTTTTTGTCCCCATCATCACCATCATCACCTCCATCTCCTCCCCCGCCTCCAATCTTTACCTCCCTTACTACGGCAGGGTCCGTTAACCTTTGGCAGAGAGCTTTATATAGTTGGTCAACATACTCAAATATACGGTGATCAATTTGTTCTCAGGCACTGCGCAAGAAGTTATTCCAGAGGCCTTCAAACTCCCCTTGGTGCAACTCTATTCGATTAACGGTTCAGTGGAGTGCAGCAAGTTCATTGTTAGTATGGAGGAGAGTATCTGTTAGAAGGGAGAGTCTTTCATATGTGGCAGCCTGTTTCCCTTTCTGTTCCTGCAACAGCTCCTGCAACCTCTCCCCCTCCTCTTTCATCCTTTTCTTTTCATTATACTCCTGCCTTTTTGTCGCCACCATCTTATTATTCAATTTTGCTTTCTTCTCCTCCAGCATTAATTTTCTTTTTGCCTCATCTGCTTCTGACGCAAGGAAGATGAGCAATAGCGAACTTCAGCAATCAAACACCATCATACATATGAGTCCAGATAGTCGGGACCTCGAACCAACAGCATAATTGCATCACGAGATTCACCAAATAAGAACACACCAAGAGTTCATAATTGACAATGCTGAAATAGTCCCATCACCATCAACGAAGAACCAGAGTTGATATCCTATTTGGCGCTCGGCGCCCAGACGACATGTGGCAGATCCTATCTAGCCTATACTACGATGCCGAAAGATGACGTCAACAGCTTTCCCGAAGTACGAGCATATGGCGACCAATGTCGCACGCTTCCAGCACCAGGTATGTCTCTCGCCACACTCACAACCTCATTCCCCAACGCACAGATGCCACTAGCACCCAAGGACCACCCTGCGCCTCACCCAGCTCACAGCAGCGCAGCTCGGCTATGGCTGCGTGCTCCTTC